ACTGAGTTACGCAAGCCCCTTCGCCACGACAAGGCAGTGATCCATGAAGGGGACAGTTCATCTAGCATCCCAATATGTTCCCATGACTTCAGCTTATCTTTTCCTTTTTTCTGGACAAGTGGGCACATTTTCAAATAAAACACTGGCCTCCAGCCATCCACCATTTTATTTACTAAGAATGCTTCTAGGATCTGTATGGCTTCAGGAGATATTGTTGAAAATACAATTTATGATTGGGCTGTTGCTTTCATTTGCAACATGTTTACTTCCAATTTATTAAAAATTAACTTAGTCAGGAAGGTGATGGCAGGCATAATGACGCCCACAGGTGTCATGCTGGGGAAGCAGGGTCTAGTGCATGAAACAGCCTCCAAGGAGGTTTCTGTCAAATTTTGTCATTGCTTGCCTTTCAGATGGTTGTTCAGCTGTTTCATTTGTCATTCAGTTGTTGTCTGATCCATAGAAAGCATGATCTGCAAAGAATTTTGTGGGGTGCTCTTTTTAATGTCTTATGTAACTTTAATCTGATGGGCATTATCAGTTTAAATCATTTGTATTTTAGATTGTTCTGTCTCACTGGCTGCTGTGAATATTCTGTACAGAAAAACAGGAGAAGAATTCATAGAATTTCAAATAATTAAATAGTATTAGTAGAAGATCTTGGACCCAGGTGCAGCAAGTGGTTGTACAGCCTAACAATAATTTATCTACATTAGTTTATGGGACAGTAAAAGTATTAAATTTGCTTATTTAATACTGTATTTTCTTCAGATGACTTAAATAATAGCTTTAATAATCCAAAGCTATATTATAACAGTTTAATGGGATGGGTGAGGGAGAGCAGTCTGTTGTTCTACATTCTTTGCATTATAAATTGTGAATAATCAAATAATAAGCACGAAGTTTGTACAAATGAACCTGGCTCTGCAAAATCTAAGAATACCAATTTAGTCCAGTCATTTGAATCCTACTCATGTGCTCTCATGTCTGCAAATCATGTTTACGGGTTTCTGCTTATGAGGGTAATCAAATAATTAAGGATTGATTGAACCAGATACATTTAAGTGTGAAAGTGTGGAAGAATGAATATCAATTCTGATGGCTTCTTGACAGGAAAAGAAAATGAAGAAATATTCTAGTGTATGAATATAGAAGAGAAAAAAAGAGGGAGGACAATGCTAGAGCACCTGTTTTGCATGCAACTTTATCTTATTCTCTGAAATCCTGGAGAAGTACCACCAGTAGGGTAGAGTCTCTTTGGTCTTCCAGATATCATTATAATTTACATTCCATTGTCCTTGGCCATGTACTATGTTGAGTAAGATAGCTAGGTTTGAGATACAGTGTGACTACCTCTTGCCTAGGCAGTATTGAACAAGAAGGACCAATGGTTATATGATAATTTCTTCTGTTCTTTTGATTGGGGGTGAAAAGGAGTGGCAAGAGGATAACCATCCATGTGAAGGTAGGGATCAATGGGATATATTTGTGGTAAGAAACCATAAAGTAAAATGTATTGGCAAAACCCCTGGGAAGTAAGGAGGACGAAAATGAACACAACACACATGGGAGGAATTATACAAGGAGGAATAGCATTTATAAGCACATTGCCTATGTTCAGCTATGGATTATGACAATGTCAGTTGAATTGGTGCTGCAGCTGAGTTGAGTTGAATTGCAGAAGAATCCTCAACTATATGTTAAAAACCCCAATGGTATCTACAGTAGATACCACTATTTGCCAAGTATGTTGCTACATAAGGTTCCATTGGGGTTTTTAAAATATAGTTTGTGCTGAATTGTATGGGAAAAGCCAGAAATGAATAGTTAGATAACAAAAATGAAGAACAGAAATGTGTTTCGAAGCATCTAAGAAATGAAAAATAAAAATGTACTTCTAAACATCTAAGAAATGAACAGAAATGTATTTCCAAGTTGTGTTATGTTGTTACAATATGCACGCAAGCTTGAAGATTCAGTTTTAAGCGCCGTACTAATGTGGTTGTGAATGGAATGAAGCTAAAACATTATTGGATCAACCTTTCCTACCTGGTACCATCAGATACGTTGTGACTGTAACTCCTAGAGTTCCTAGACAGCTGTCCTTTGGCTATGTTTATTTATTTAATTAATTTCATTTATATGCTGTCAGAATTGAAAGACTTCTGATGATTTACAACATGTTGTCTAAGGATTCTGGGAGCTGTGGCCTCAGCAGCTCTGGAGGACAATAAATAGAGGAAAGCTGCATGAGAGATGCTTGGTGACTTTCCAGTATATTCAGATCAATACGAAGGACAGTGCTGATAGTACCTTGTGTGCAGTATTTTCAGGTTATCTCATGAAACTAAGCATTGGTTTCTGTTGGTTGCTTTAAATAAATGAGTGGCATGAATCAAATTACACTTTCTTAATATTAGAAAATGGAAAATGTAATGCTGTTATAAATGGTGCAGTTCCTGGTGTATATTGACAGCTGCTTGATGGAAAGATATCTTGCCAATTTACCTCCTTGGGACAGGAGCTCTCTTATTACAACAGTGATAATTTATAGCTGTAAGAAGTTGTCCTCCAACAGCAGGAAGGCCAACTTTAAAGTGATTAATTTGATTGGCTGAAAAGTCTGTTTTGTATTTTACAGTTATATGCATTGAACCTAAACATTCTGACTCATATACAAGTAGGCATTTCTCTGCCTGTCTTTCTCTCTCACACAACACATGCACGCAAACATATTTTAAAAACAGACATTGTACAATGTTCTTCCCCTTCCTCATGCCACAGGCATCTCATTAAGAGACCATTGTAGTGGGGTTACTAAGTTAGTTCCTAACTCTAATCAGATCTAGCTGTTAATTAACCAGAAAGAAAAAGAGACATTTTCCAACTGGAAATCGTCCCTGTATTCCAAACTCTTCATCGTTTTCAGAAATGAACCAATAAAGTTCTTTGTAGTCCACACATATCCTCAGATAAAGCTGCATAGAGTTCAGAAGAGAAGCGTTTGAGGGCAGGGACTACATTTATTCCAAGAACCATGAAGTCTCTTTAAAAACAAGACCCTGGAGTTTACAAAACATTAAGAATACTACATATTAACTGTATCTATAATAATTTGTTTAATAATATTAATCACTCTAAGATAATAATGCTGGTATCATCATATTCATCAAATATTTTCATTTTCAAACAGACCAATTTCTCTTTCTTCTTCATAGATCATATATATGCACATCCAGGTTTCCTACATACAAGTCTCGCGTATACAATTTGCATTGATTGATTGATATGGTTTATATAGCTGCCCATTGAACCCAGGTGACTCTGGGTGGCTTACAGGATTAAAACACACAAACCCAACAAACAATGACCCCACTTACCATGAACAATAACAGTGCTCATCTACCCACCTGACAGAACAGCCTGGGGAAACAGCCAGGTCTTGAATGCCTTGCAAAAGGCTAATAGGACTGGGGCCATCCAAATTTTTTGGGGGGGGGGTTGCTATTCCACAGGGCAGGTGCTGCCACTGAGAAGGCCCAAATATAGCAACATTCTTGGGATTCAGATGCACAGCAAAGAAGTAAACAAATCAGCCTTCCTGTCATGCACTTTGGCCTATCAGTGGTAAGAAAAAGGTTTTGGCCCTAAGAGTTGGCCCCTAGTGCAAAAGCAGGCAATGGCAGTCTCAGAAGGAATCTCATCTGGTTATTAATCCAGAGAGTGAAGAGAGACATTCTCTCCTGGGGAGTAAAGGTAGTCCTCCCTTAGTGACCCCAATTGGGACTGGCAACTTGGTTGCTAAGTGCCACAGTTGCTAAGTGGAAAATCACATGACCCTGACGGGCTTACAATCTCACTTCCCCTTCAGTCGTTAAGCAAAGCAGTCACTAAGCAAGAAATCATGTGACGATGACTTACAATTTTACCTTATGTAAACGCCTTATGTGACCCCTTATGTATTAACTCTGCTTGTTACAAGCTGGTTGCGGTGATGATCACGTAATTGCAGGATGCTGTGACAGCCATAAATGCGAGGATTGGTTGCAAAGGTTTTTTTTAGCACTGTTGTAACTTCAGACAGTTGCTGCATGAAGCAGTTGGTAAGCGAGGACTACCTGTATGTACAGACCTCAGGGACTAAAACGACGCGAGAATTTCTGGCAAGTGCATTGCATAGCAGGCTGCATCTTAAGCTAGAAGAGCAAAATACAGCCTGCAAAAGCAACAGGCGAAATCCTGACTCCATCCCTTTTATTTCACAGGACCCCCCCAAGCAATGACAGTATCAGACGTGGATAGCCAAGGCATCAAAGTCTTTAAACAAACACAGCAAGCCGCTGCCTCCCTAACAGAAGTAGCAAAGGGGAATCCTTTGGTCATAAGGCCTACAAATGGATTTGTGACTTCTGACCTCATCCATCTGCCAAGAAGAAGAAGAGTTGCTTGTAAGAAAGAAGAGAATATGGTTCAAACCACACTTCAGACAGACAGCCTATTTATTTATTTATCCATTGCCTCAGCAAGTTAATTATGTACGTTAAGCGATATATAAATATGAGACCTATTAAAATGTGTAGTGGTTAGGTCATTGGACCAGGATGAGGACCTCCAGGTTCAAGTCCACTCTCAGCCTTGGAAATTCACTTTCAATCAATCACTCACTTTTAGTGCAGTCTATAACTTAGGGTTGTTGTGGGTAAAACTGAAGGAGGGGATGGTAAGTATGTACGCTGGAGCTCCTAGATTTATCTGTCTAACAAGTGAATAAATAAATATGGAAAAGTGTGTCAGATAAGGATAACTCCAAGATAGGTGGGCATAGAATTGCAGCTTAAAAAGACAAGTAAAAAAGAAAGCCACTTCTGCTCGCTGGTAGCTAGCTGTGGCTGCTTCTCTGAATCTTTCAAATATCAGGACCATATCTAGAATAATTCACTTGGATTTGTGGAGGGCAGAAATAGCTATTAATGGACATTCTTTATGTGACACAGCACATTTTTTCAGTCTGATCCCCTCTAGATAAGTTGGGCCATAAGTGTTGTAATTCACATGAAATAAATGGAATGCTTTGTCTAGATTAATGTTGTATCAAAAACTGCTTTACAGTTTCTCAGTTTTCTTCCCCAGTAAAAGGCACATTTTATTTTTCTAGCTTGCCCTCAGTGTGATTGAGAGTTTCTTTCAATTTCTCTTGGTGATATTTTCAAAATTAACTGTTGGAGATGGTGGACGTGCTACTGCTGGCATCTTACCATTTTGTCACTCTGAAGCCTCCCTGGCTGTCCACATTTTCAGTTCTGGAAAACAAAACCATGGGAGGAATTTCCAGAGAATATTTTCCATTGGTATTGAATTGAAATATGAGAAATCAGGAAGACAGCTGACCACTAGCTGTCATGACTGTCTGTAGTGGAGGAGAACTGGGGCAAATAACAAAATGTATGTGATGTGTCAGTATACAAATGCCACGACTTATATACTTGGGCCAGATGTTAGGACGCAAGTATTTAACTGCAGCATGTGTGTGATGATGTCACCACACGCATCTCATCAATTTGGTATCATTACATTTTGAAGAAAAGCTTTCCTTTCTTTCCTTTAAACTGAAATCCTAAAGAGAGAGAGAGAGAGATCTGAAAGTAAGTTCCACTAAACTCAATGAGACTAACTTCTGACTAAACATATATCAGATTGCACTGTTTCTCTAGCTTTTGTACCTTTGCTCATCCAACATGATGTCATAAAGGACCCAAGTGGGTGAAAATGCCTCCTCTCTGAAAAGAATAGTATATAAACTGATGAGCCCAGGGATCTTTTTCACATCAAGGTGTAGTTATGTAGACATGTCTGATAAAAGCTTCAGTCTGTCCAAGGTTCTTACATATCTCTGCATACATACATGGGTATCCAGAGGGGACAGGGAAGAATCAGTAATGATATGTGCATCATAATGTCATGATACGTTTGATGCAGTTTCTGTGCTTACATCAGATGTTATGGTGCACATTACACAATCAAGTCATTTGTGCAAAGATGTCATCATTTGGACATCATCATGATTTCCTACAGTTGCTGCTGAGTGGGGAGGCAATCGTTTTTCATGATTATGCTATGGAAAAAAAGTGCAAGATCATTTTTCTTCTGGGTTCCAGTCTAGATGTTTCAAGGAACTGGCTGGGAGCCACAGCATCTTGTGTACATACCTGTAGTGCTTCTGCACCTGCATCTTTGCCCCCTTGCTGAGATTTTCTCATTTCTCATTTCACCTCTTAAAGACCTCTGAATGCCAAAATGGGGCAATTAGGAGGCAAAATTAGTATCTTAACCTCTGTATTTCACTGATTTCAGTCCTTAAATTATCCTTCCAAATCTGACAACCCCCCCTCCCGCAAAAAAGAGGCTCTACCCATTCTTTGATATCATAACATCACCAACTACATCTCCTGTGACCCTCTAATTAAAATGTAACCCATTGCTACAAGTTACAAGTTACTGTCCTCTAATTTAATCTGGATTTTATATGACCATGAATTACTACAGCAAATTGTTTATGTCCAAAAGTAGCTGCTTCACCAGCCTAAACAGATGAAATGCATTTGCTGCCATGGTTACCATTTGAGCATCTAAAATAAGAATTTAATGTAATGGCATGCACAATCTACCATGTTTCTTCAAGAGGAAACTAAGTCTTGTCTAGATGTTCCCTTACACTGAATTGCCAACTAATAAAAAATGTCCTTTCTCTGAATGAAATTTCATTGTGTTAGCCTCTAGTCTATTAGTGATTCCAGGCATCAGTTCAGGATTTCTTTCTTTCTTTATTTGATTTTAAGGCTGTCCATTCGCCTGTCACAGAGGAAAAAAAAATCTGGTTGTCATCAGAATTCTGATGCCGCTGTATTTCAGCATTCTGAATGGCAGTGAATAATTTCATGCAGATATTTAGCAGGATAAAGGACAAATACCATGTTGTTTTAATACATTCCCCTGCACCATCAACTGGAATCTGTCAGCTAAGTAAGAATGTCACCATTGTAAAAAATGGTCCTTTGTCCCCTGTCTGGATAGACAATCCACCAGAGTTCCGTAATCAGTGATATTAGATGCCATTCAGAGAGTTGGACAGCCTCTACTTGCTTCTCCTTGATTTGCATTGCGTACGGTGTTTATTTACATAAGACCTATACAATATGAATTTTATTTAAATTGGAGATTGTTTATGAATCTTGCATGTTAACTGAATCCAAAATGTGCTCAATCTTAAAAAACCACCTTCTCTGTAACATTCAGTTAACACATGTATGGTAGGGGAGTATGAGATTGATTGAGATACAGGTTATAAAGCTCACTGTGGAGGAAATAATGCCTATGGAATTAAAATCAATCCAGTTAGGATTAAGCTTGAAAAGAAGCCTCTATGAAGCCAGTACAATTTCTGAATAAAATGTTAATACTTGGGCATCTTGGAAGCAAATATAAATAGACAGCTTCAGTTGTGAAACAACTAGAATCATCAGGAATATATTTTCCATTTAATTAAGGCTACCTTATCTGGGCTACAGAAATTGAGAGGATCTAGATGGCAACAAAAACTTTTGTCTGTTCAGTGCGCTTTTTTCCTTAATCTCATCTGCTCTGCTCTGCTCTTGCTCTCCTGCAGATAGGTTGGGATTATGACTTCAAAAATTCTTTGCTAATCTGTTGACTGGGAATACTGGGAATTCATTATTTATTTGTGTGCCTGTTTACCATTTTGCCTTACATGCCATTCCATTACTAAAGATCCTGAGTGGCTTACAAACTACAAAGCTGTATAAATTAAAGTATAAACAATTAATAACATCATCAACAACAACAACAACAACAACAACAGATGGGTCACTATTCAGGCATAGAATTTCCAAGTGTTCCCAAATGCCTCTCCAGAGAACCATGTTTTTACAGCATTTTGAAAATACAGCAGGGAGCATTCCAAATATCTAGGTGTTTGTTGAAGCGGGAGGTCATAATTGAGAACACTCAACCACAAGTTCCCTGTAGATGATATTCCTTCAGATTTGGGGCTCTTGGCAAGACCTCCCTACTAGATCTCTCTGGATAGATAGATTCAAGAAAGGAGCCTTAGAGATACCTAAGTCCTAAGCCATATGAGGCTTTAAACATGATAACCAGCACCTTGAACTGCATTGGAAGCTGACTGGTAGACAATGCAGCATCCGCAGTAGTGGTGTGCATAGGTGGTTGTAGGTACTCACATAATTACTCAGGCAGCAGTGTGCTAAACCAGCTGATGGGTCCAAAAGGCCTTCAAGGGCTGACCCATGTAGAGTGAATTGCAATAGTCTATCCACGAGGTGATAAGGGCATGTGTGACAGAAAGCAAAGCTTTCTGTTCCAGAACTGGCTTCCTGTTCCAGAACCTCCGCACAAGAAGTAATGATGAAGGGCCCTTTGTAGTTCCAACACTTCTGGAGTGTACCAAGGCTTGACTAAACAGTGTCACAGATCTCCTATCCCAGCATCCGAGAGTCTCTTTCAGGAAACTGAGTTGAGGAGTTGGAACATATCTTCTCAATAGGTTAGTGCTGTTGTTAAGACTATTTAAATTCCATTCAAATTTGGGTTTGCAGATATCAGTATAAAAGGTCTGCTGTCTTTGAACCACTTCAGAGACAGTCCAATAATGTTGTCCTTGCTATGCACATATAAAAACATACATTCAGCTCCTTGTGATTTTGAGTTAGTGGTGATGAGTGGGGGGGGTTGTCCTCTTCCTGAGCTGTTAAAGAGTTCCCATCAATCACAGCTGTCTAACTCAGTATTAAGGTATTCCTTTTATGTTACAAAGAGCAAAACCATATTTGGAGTGAGATTTAAGTCAAAGTCTGGTTTTGGTAGATGTATACTACTGTTGGATTTGATTTTTTACTCTATGAGTTTAAAGTTGATAGTAATCTTTTATCCAGGTTTTTTTCCTTGGATTGTTTATCATGAAGGCCCTTTTGGAAAGATGAGATTCCCACTGGAAAGTTCCATCTCATTAAAGTGGCTGTGACACCTATATTGTGCCAGCTGTGCTGTTTGTCAGAACATTTGCAACTAAATTTAAAACATTACTTTTAATCTTTAAAACCTTAAACATCTTTGAGCTAAGTTATGTGAAGGATCAGGTTCAACCTGCCTACCCCTTAAGATCTTTAATGGATGTACTTCTTGCTTGCTTGCCTTTTAGAGCAGACAAGTTGATGGGTGGAGTAAAGAAGGCCTTCTTTTCAAGTAGCCCAGCATCTCTGGGAACACTTTCTGTATGGAAGTTGTCAAGGTCTATCACTATGAAACCAGGGGAAAGCTCTCGAAATTCACTCCTTTTCCCATGACCATGGTTTGAGTTGTGTTTTATGGGATGCAGCGTTTTCTGACTTGAACTGAATGAAATGTCAGTTTT